TAAACTGATGAACAAAAAATAGATCCAGAGACATAGAAGCATTGAACAGACCATCAAACCTCAGAGGGAAGGCAGGGGAGGGTGGGAAGGGGAATTAGAGATCAACCAAAGGACTTGTATGTATGCATATAAGCATAATCAATGGACACAGACATTAGGGGGTGAGGGCCTGTGCTGAGGGACAGGAGCAGTGGGGAGAGGTCAATGGGGGAAAAAAAGGAAACATATGTAATACTTTCAACAATAAAGAATTTTAAAAAATATATCATGCTGCTTGCATGTAAGGGTTTAAGAACCACTGTGGTGATATAAACAGCTCTACTATCATGAATCCTTTACTTTACTACTAGTGGCCCAGTGCACAAATTTGTGCACGGGTGGGGTCCGGCCAGCCTGCCCCATAAGGCCGATCAGGTGGGCTGGCCAGGGGGACAATTTGCACATTAGCTTTTTATTATACAGGATTTCCTTATTCATTCATATTTTAGACAGCTTTGAGGTTCAATTGATACATAATAAACTGTACATCTTGTTTATAATTTTATAAAATTTGATATATGTATAACCTATAAAACCATCAGACTAAGATAATGAATATATCTATCACCTCCAAGTTTCCTCATGCCCTTTAATCTTCCTTCCATCTGTCTTACCATCTGCCTTCACAACAGTATGTATGTTCTCAAGTTTTACACAAATTGAGGCATAAAGTATGTATACTTTTTGTCTGACTTCTTTCCCTGTAGCAGAATTACTTTGAGATTCATTCACATTGTTACATCAGTATCAATATTTTACGTCTTTTTATTACTGAGTAGTATTCTGTTGTGTGGATATATTACAGTTCGTTTACCCATTCACTTGTAGATGAGACACTGGTTTGGGGCTTTTACAAATAAAATGCTATGAACATTCAGCTCGGCCGGTGTGGCTCAGTGTATGAGTGTCATGAACCAGGAGGTCATGTTTCCATTCCCAATCAAAGCACATGCCCACGTTGCAGGCTTGATACCTGGTAGGGAATGTGCAGGAGGCAGCTGATTTGATGATTCTCTCTCATCATTCATGTTTCTATATCTCTCTCCCTCTCTGAAATCAATAAAAACAAACATTTAAAAAATGCTATGAACATTCACACATCAATCTGTACAAATCTCGTATGGACATATATTTTTCTTTTTTCTTGGGTAAATACCTGGGAGTGGAATAGCTGGATGATGTGGTAGATATATGCTTAACTTCTTAGAAAATTGCCTTCAGTTCCTTGCTCAGAACATGATAAATGTTCTGGTACCTCAAACAAATGTGTTTTCTGTTGCTATTGGATGGAGTGTTTTATAAACGTCAATTAGGTCAAGTTTGTTGTTCAAAATATCTTTTGCTTCCCCTCTTCTCCCCTAAATTGGCCAGTGATTTCCAAGGCACATAATTTTTTTGTAATAATTATTTATGTATTTTTAGAAAGAGGGTGGGAGAGGGGGGAGGGGGGTACATTAAGGTTCATCTACATCCATAAAATGTAATATGCAAACATTGTTTTTATTCTGTAAATAAACAGCCAACACATGTATTTGGAGAGGGGGAAAATGCCTTGTAGGATATAGATACACCAACATGTTTATATTTACAGGTATATGGTTTAGCACTGATAAAGTGATTTTAATGGTTTTTATTATTATTGTTTTTTCTATCTTTCTATAGTAAGCATATATTAGATACTTTTTGTTGTTGTTAACACTCACCCAAGGATATTTTCCCATTTATTTTTTTAAGAGTGCAAGGGAGGGGGAGAAACATAGATGTGAGAGAGACACATTGATTGGTTGCCTCCCGCACATGCCCCAACCAGGGCTGGGGATCAAGCCTGCAACAGAGGTACATGCCCTTGACCAGAATTGAACCTGGGACCCTTCAGTCTGTGGGCCAACACTCTATCTTCTGAGCCAAAGCAGCCTGGGCAAGAATTGTCTAATTTTAATAAATACTTTGCTTTCTTGAGGAAACTATAAATGATGCCAACATTTATAATAAAAGTTGTCAGGTTATGGAAAAAACTTTTCTTATATAAATATTTCAGAAATAGAAGAGATACTTATTTTAGTGTCTCAACAGGAAACTGTTATGCAGGGGCAGGGGACTGTTAGGGCAATGTTTGCCACTTACTTATAGATGACAAGAGGCTCAAAGCAACTCTGTTTTGTTCATCAAATTAGAGGCAACTAAGATGTCTGACACTTTATTTACACATGGAAACAACTTAAATTTCTTAGAATCTAGTGAAGCCCAACATTTTCTCAGGAACCTGCCAGCGTATGTCACTTCTCACTGAAGGGATATTCTCTCCTTTGATAGAACAGATATACTGACTAGGAGAAATAATTTTTAAACATTTACATTATGAGATATGAGTACAACTAAAGGTCACTTAAATCCAAATGCTTGGAATCCATGTGCTTGGAATCTTTCTGGACTTCTTTAGATTTGTAAAGTTCATTAAGCAAGTTTTTAAAAGAAAGTCATGCATAATGAATTGGAAAATAACTCTTCTTGAGCATGTAATTCATGCTTTTCTATAAGTTCTAGGTAATTGGGACCTAGAATCCTGGGTATATTTGAAACATTTCAGTTTCCTTTTCTTTTCACCACCACACTTTTTATCTGAGCCATTGAATAACAAAGCACTTGGAGTTTTGTCTCTGCTGTGTCTATGGAATCACAAAAGTAAGACATGGTTCCTGACTGCAGGGAGCTTACAGTCAGGGAAGGAAGCAGAACATGCAAATGACCTCCGTAATAACAGAAGGCTTAACTCATTCACAAAGTAACCCATTAGAAACCAAACAGTGAGGTAAAAACTTAAGAAACATGTATATCCATGATTAAATACTTAGAAAAAATCCCCCTCCCCAAAATAGCAAATGAAAGATGCCAAATGAACTTTGTGGCAGGTCAATCATTCTCCAGGGCAGCCTTTAATTTACCAGCAGTGTCTAAGGACGTAGATGTGCCTGGCACTATGCCTTTAGCATCACAGA